ACCGACCACGGAAAGGGCCAATGTAGCAATCACCATAGGCATCGGTACCAGATCGGCGAGTGGTGTAGTCACATTTTGTGACATTTGTGCTTATCTAGAACATCTCGTTTATAATGAAGTTGATGTAAATAATAGGAGTGACAGCCAGAAAATCGCGAAATTCGATCGATTAACTAATTTGGCAGTAGTTGAAATGAAAGTTTCAGGATCTTTAACTAGACTCGCTGGAGATGGTCAAGAGTTGCTTTCGAGATGACCTCTTTAGAACAACACCAACGTACTACCGTGAATGGTCACTTCACAAAACTTCTAGTTGTCTTCCCAGTTTCCGAACGTGACTACCTTCTGAGGAATCATAGCCTACACAGGTAATCAGACAGACACATTTTAACGGAACATTACTCAGCATAGCTCTGCACCTTGGCTTACATTCTTGATTGATCAGACTCGATTTTTGGAGAAGGGAATACCTGGCATTGTGAAATCCGGTCCCAAGTTTGATCTGTTAAGTGGTATTATTCCTGACATCACACCTCCTGAACATTTATCTATTCACCTAATCTTATGCACACCTGCCGAATTTGAGCTGTAGCTCATTCAGTCACCCCAAACGGACCTTTCAATGAGCATGAAGTTGGTACCTTCCTCTAATTGTCTTTTTTTCAATTTGCTAATACCTTTGTCATGCCAGCTGGTGGCTCCTAATTCGTTAGTCTTGCTTTTATCTTTTTTATCAGCTGACTGGTGGTAAAAAAGAGATTGACGACTCCTTCAAAGTCGGTACCGAAACTTCTGGCAAGTTATAAGGACTTCTGGCTCGGGATATGGCTCCATAGAGAAGCGTTCGGTGAATATTAGGTTGATGTGAAAGTCTTTAGTCACAAAATTTACGGCGTCGTCGTTTCTCTATAAGAATCACTGTCACCCTCGGACCATGACCATATTCTAAAACAATCTCAGAATTACCACCAGTAATGCTCAAATAGGTGCCCTTCTTTTGTAAACCATGTTGCGATCGTCGAGTGATGAAGCCAGAGAATTCGTCCTCTATAGGCGCCGCAGCTCCAGTGTTCGCTCCGCTGACCGTAACATCAACACACAACACTGGGATAGGAGAGGAACGGTTTTTCATGATTTTTCCTTTCGGGTTTCATTCATTATATGGCTAAATAAGCAAGGAAGGGGTTAACTAGATTACGCTATGCGTACGTGCATCTTCACGAAGGAACCTCACGGAAGCTTCCACAGGATCCTTTAAGGAACCTGGTATTTGGGAAAATATAACAGTATAGCCATCCCTTGTTCGTATGTTCCGTGTTCGTTGTTCGTTCTGGCAAAGATAGCTGTGAAGGAAAAAGAAATAAATATTATTGTTTTGTCAGGAAAGCCAGACTTACTTACGTAGTTACGTAGCTGGCTCTACAAAAGGAATGTTACTGAAATGCGGGTACAAAATGAAATGTTTTCCAGTTCCAATTATAAAAACTAAATAGAAACAACTTACCGCAAATGAACAAGCTGTAATTTGATAACAGCAAAATTGGCAGAAAATCCCTTGTTATTAGCTGCTGTCTGCCGCTCTAATTAAAGTATTTACCTCAGACAAATTAGAATTATCTAGTCATTTGCCGGTAATACTTTTGAAGATTAACTAGCTCTCAGATTCTCAGACATTTCATGTCTACTCGTCCCCTGGGATATCTTGCTGCTACTGAAACTTGAGCTCAAAAAGATTTAAAAATTTGTGCCCTTCCCAATGGCTTCGCTGAAACCATCCAACTCAAAAGAGTCCTTCATCAGACGAACCTGATACTATTATTGAATCCAGGCAGTGGTATGACTTCCCTGAAGTATCAGACATAGAGGCGGATGACCACAGGAAAGAGAAATGTCTAAGTGTAAAACCTATGGAGATATAAGGCAGTGCCAGATTTTTTTCTTAACGGAAAATTGACGGTGGAGTTTCTCAGTTCCTAAGGGTGACCGAGAATATTCTAGCATAGTGGAGAACACTATAGAAGCTATGTATGCTATGTATAAGACAGGTGGAATTAGTGAAGCAGTCACAGAAAAAAACTACTTCAATCAAAGTGTTTTGATTGGATGGATTAATCATGAGCTGAAAGGAATAAGGAATTCTACAGTTTCCGGAACCCAGCATACTAAATAATAGGTTTTACGGAAGGTATCTTTCAAAAACTTTACAACAGTCCAGATTTATGCCCCACCCCTTTTGGAAGATTTCATAGAAATATAGAAGGGCTCTGCTCACCTGTATGCGCACGCCATATGGGTAGGGTTCATAAGGTAGATATGGGGCTCAACAGGATCGAGGTTTCCTTCGGCCTTTTATCCAAACTGTGAAGCGTTGACGGGTTTGCCCCAGACCGCTCAGATGGGGCTTCAATTCCAAATGCTTGACATAAGTTCCAATGGTTTTCGGCGGCAAATTGGCCGGACTCGAACACATGAAGTAGTATGTTTCGAATTTGGGTAAACAGTTAGTCAACTACATGGGTAAATATGCAAGAAGAAGGTTACCAGCTTGATGATATGTACTTGTATGGATAGTGTGCTTAAATAGAAACCTCAGTGAAGCTTTCAGGATATCTCAGGGAAAATATTAAGAATAATCTCAGAAAGTGGGCGATTTATGGACAAAGCTTCAGTCTCGGACGGGTTTCGAACCCGTACTTGTGCTTACCGCGCACCGTGCTCTATCCCTTACACTACCAAGATTCCGCTTGCCCTCGCCTTCTTAATGGTTTAATGGCTCAAGAAGGCGAGGGCAAGCGGGGTCTCCGTAGTGTAAGGGATACAGCGCGGTGCCCGGAAAGCACAAGTACGAGTTCGAGTCCCGTGCAAGACTAAGGTTTTGTTCATAAATCGGCAAACTTGTGGGACTTACTGCGGCGAATTAACATCAGTAAACAAAAGACCAAACTAAAAGAAATTAACATTTTAGCTTTTTTACGGTCAAAATCATGCCAATGTTTTGAATACATTAGCATTTCAGTGGCTTTATTATTTTACTGACTTTACTTTGGAATTGACGTTTATTTCGCAGAATTTTTAGGAACAAATTATCACACAATCTAATTAAAAGACTACTTAGAAGCTTCAAAGATAAGAGTTCAAAGGTAGAAGAGGAAGTTCTGGCATCTCCAGTAATCACCCGCGAAGGCTGGATGATTTCAAAGCGTCGGGCTCGCAATTGAGCAGGTGTATAAGGGTAACAAGAAAAGTAGGCGGACTCGTAAATTCTCTACTATTACTTCAAGAGTTAAATTTACTTTGATAAGCAGTTACAAACACTTCAATTTATGTTTTTACATAACTATGCAAGTAATAATTATAATCTTTACTGTACGCCAGGTATTCGGTAAACATGATATCATAACAGAGAACCAGATTAAAAACCAGAATGTGGTCCATTCGAGAAGGGCTATGTCAAATCTTCAATTGCTTACCGTCTCTTCTTTAACTGCCCATCAATTACTAAGTAGAGCTTGTAATTAATGGGTGAACACCGGGTAATACGTGCTATTCTGTGCTACGATAGGGAATACGTCTGGGAGTAAACATCATAGATCACGGAGCAAAGACAGACTGGTGCAAATAATCAAGCTCAGCCTTGTTTTCGAAGTTCCTGCTAGTCGCAGAGGCTTCTGATTTGATGATTTCCTCGAAAATCAAATGCTCAAAGATGTAATTCTCTGGCAGCTACCGATTTTTCAAGTCGGGGGCCATAGAACAGTGAAAACGGACCTTGAACCTTGAACTGCTAGTCCTTGGATGATTAGGGAGGTCAAAGGACGGGAAAATTCTACTCAAATTAATTGGAAATCTGATATTTTTTGAGGAGAAGCTGCAAGTGTCTACTTAAAGGAGGCCCGAAAAAATGGGGAATTGAAAATTCATGGTCTTTCTGAAGCATTTTCGAAACATATCCAACGTAGAGTAGGTGCTGAACTTGGGGGTCAAATTAGTGAAGTATTGACACGGTAGGGCACCCAGATCGCAGTGAATTCAATAAAATAGGCAACAAACCCAGAAAACTAAGAGAAAGCGTACAAACGGCATATGGATATGAAGAGGAAGAAGAATTCTCCCACGTGTCAGGGACATTCATTCAGAATAGTGCTTGTTTCATCCGCCAGAATGAAGAACAGTAGAAATGAGTGATTTCCGTCAAATTTTCAGATCTCCAATAATGGCGGGTTTTGGAGGAGAAGGGAGGGTATAAAAGGGGGATGTAAAAGAGCAGCATCGGTCTCCAGTAGATATGTCTCTAAAGTGAGTTGTCTTCAGCCTTGTTCTTTTTTCTCGTCTTGCAATCTGCTCTCATTACAGCTCCCTCTTGTTGTTCGTGGTCGTACTTCGAGTTGCTGCTTTCCCTGTTGATCAGGGTGACGGGAGCGGCTTGGACTGCCGATGTCCATGCCCAGAAGAGGTGACAACCACTTCACCGGCTCCTGTTCCTGCTTACCAACCCGTTCGTGCAGGTGGTGTTTTCATTGACAGGCAGTTTTCTTGGCTCGAATCACCGGCTACTCCTTCAGTATCCTCATGCTGTTGCTGCTGTACCGAAGTCTATGAAGACCCGACTACCACAACAACGACCACGACGACCACTACCACCACCACCACCACCACTACGACGGAAGCCCCTACGACGGGTTAGTTGAAGGGGACTTAGGCTACTCAGAGGATAAGAAAGATAACCCTTTTCAGAAGAACCGTGCGGATGTGGATGCTGTTGTTGCTGTTGTGAAGAAGAGCCCACTACTACGACTACCACTACCACCACGACCACAACAACGACAACCACTGAGCCTCCAACCACTATGCAAGCACCTCCACGACCATGCTCTTGCTGCTGTGGCGGAAGAGGAGGCTGCTGCAGGCCTGCAGTGCAACCGTACTTGGAGGCACCACAGAATCTGGCAGAGGTACTGAAGGCGTTCATGTAGGTGAAAGCAGTTGTATATCGCAGTTTTGGTTCTCTTTCAGAGAGAACTCGTTTGTCCTGATGGATGGAGTCGCTACCAAGATTCATGCTACTATGTGGAGAAGGCGAAAATGAGTTATGGTCAAGCCGAAAGAGCATGTAATGAGAAAGGGGCTACCCTCTTCGTGGCTGACTCCGTTGAAGAATTTGTAAGTTACTATCGATTATTAACTGATCACAACAAGTGACAATTCGCTTCCAGAACGAATTAATGAGAGAGACCCCGAACTTCTACTGGAGCTGGATTGGACTTGGTCAAGCACAGACTGACTCGTATCCGCAATGGCAAGTGGCAGGTCCAGATGGGTGAGTTGATCGGAGTGCCTGAAGTTCTGCTCTGATGACCCTGCACTCTAAGGAATTTCAGGTCACCGATGAGATGCGCCGTTGCTAGCGACGACTTCGGAGTGCCAGCTTGGGGCGGCTACGAAGGATTGGATCCTGCCCATCTGTAGGTTTATTATTCTGTAAAAGTGCCAAAATTGATGGTGAAATATCCATGTGGGTTCGAAATTGACGAGCACCACTTTCAGGAAATGGCTGATCATGCCGTTCTCATCCGTTCCCAATGGATGGTCATCTGTCAGTACATGTGTTGGCCACTACAATGTTGAAACCTATTCGAGCACATACCTGTATTTCTACCCATGTGGTTCGCTCTTCCACTCTATTTGTGAGCGTAACTCAACTCTTAGCAGTTTGGTGTGAATTTGTAACTTCCGGGTGATGTAAATATATATCAGAGGAGTCCCACAGAGGCTCGTTAAATAGTCTATTTTGTATTTCTATTATAGGAAAGATATATTGTATAGGTCGATGGAATAGTTTGTACAATTATTAGACAATCGTTACTATTGCTGTCGATCAAATAGATGCTCGATAAAGGTTCAAATTTTTGATGTGTACTTCAGCAGAATAGTTTTTCTCTGAAATGTGAGAAAAGCCTTGGGAAATAGACATTCAAAAGAAGGGAGCTCTTGGCAGCATAACAGGGCGGTCTGAGTGGGAGAGCTTTTGGGTCAGTTTTTGGTATAGTTTTGCTTAAACTCTTTTTGGGGAGAGAATGATCTTGAATGCTGCTGAAAACCAGTTGCAGAAATAAGAAATACGGAATAAAAATAAATCGGGTGAGGTTTCCTTGCTTTGTTTGAGTTGGAGATGAGGGGCAGGCCTGTATGGGATCAACTAAGAAATGGTGCCATCGAAAGAAATGTTAGCAACGTAAAAGAGGTCCACGGACCAGAGCTCAAGGCTGCGTGGGAGCGGATTTCAACCAAAGAACGTGTCGATGACATTCTTTTGCTATAAATC